CCAGAGGGGAAAGCCACCCTCCAGGAGACAGAGGCCACAGGACGCACCAGTAACGCCAAAGGGGAAAGCCACCCTTCTGGGCTTATCCTACCCCTCACAAGAACTTCCTCCCAACAGCCCGAGAAAATCCAACTCATTAAGCATAGGTACCAAAAACAACCATGAAGTCCTCACGGTAAAAAGTTCAGCACAGAACAAGGGAGAGAAAATCACATCAAAATTAAAATTGACAGCAACATTTTATGTCAGATACAGTAAAGTAATATTTTTAAGATACTGAAGGAGAAAAAACGTGACTTGAGTATTTTATAACCAGCCCAAGTGTTAATCACGTGTATGTCACAGAGTTATAAACTGGGAGGAGCTTAGTCTCTCCTGAGCCTCCCTAAGTGAGAGAGCAGAGAGGTTTCAGACAACCAAGGAAAACTGGAGAAGCTTTAACATTAAGAATGAAGGTGAGAAGAAAATGAATCTAATTATAGTAGGGCTACCACTGAAAGACTGGGGACGTCAGGAGAGAGAAGACAGGTGGCAAAGTCAGGGACACAAGTGCCAAAACACAGCTGGTAAATGGCTGCTCCAAAATAAAGAACTCTTCAAACTCAACAATAAGAACAACCTGATTAAAGACATGAGCAAATGACCAGAACAGACACGTCACCAAAGAAGACACACACATGACAAGTGTGAAAGGCACTCAACACCACATCTCACTACAAATTAAAATCACCACAGACACCACTACACACCTATCACAATGGCCAAAATCCAGAACCCCGATAACCCCCGGTGCTGGTGAGGATGGAGAGCGCCAGGAGCCCTCACCCACTCCTGGGGAACGTGAAATGCCACAGCCACTCTGGGAGTTTGGCAGTTTCCTACAAAGTTCCTACCATACAATCAGCAATCATACTCCTTAGAATTTACTCAAGTGAGCTGAAAACTCATGCCTGCACAAAAAACCTGCACATAGGTTTATAGCAGCTTATTCATAACTGCCAAAACTAAGAAGCAACCAGATGTCCTGCATAACCTGTGGCCCATCTAGACAATGAAAATCATTCAGTGCTAAAAGAAATGAGGCGTCAAGCCGTGGAGAGACACAGAGGAACCATAAGAGCACGTTGCTCAGCCCAAGAAGCCAGCCTGAGATGGTGCACACTGTATGATTCCAACGTGTGATGGTCTGGAAGAGAAAAAACGATGAGGATGGTAAAGATCTGAGTGACTGTCCAGGTTCACAGAGGTAAGGGGCGAACGGGCAGAGCACTGAGGATGTTCAGGACACACTGTTCATATGACGCTGTAAGGGTGGCTCCACGTCACTGTACAGCTGTCAAAACCTACAGAACGTCCAGCACCGCGACCTAAAGCAACTACAGACTCTGCTGATGGAGACTGAGCAGCAGTAAGAGACGGGCCACTCTGGTGGGGGCAACAGTGGGGGACAGGAGACACATGGAAACTCTGTACTTTCTCTTGATTGTGCTTTGATCCTAAAACTGCTCAAAATGATAGTGTGTATCTTTTAATAAGTGGAGATAAAACTGACAAACAGTATATAAACTGCATCTTAAGGAACATAAAAATAATACATGAAAGTAAACAAAAATCAAAGAATTAAGAGAAAGAAGAAACTAAGTTCACAGATTTCTTAAGTATTAGAGGGGGAAAGGGTTGCGATTTGAAGCTTACAAATAAATTTGTATAAACTTAAACATATTTAAGACCATAAAAATTAGCATTAAGATAACACTCATAACTAAAATTAAATGATATAAAAAAAGAAAAAGTTACTAGACAATTTGAGTATCATTTATGGTAGGGAACAAAGGCAGTAACTAAGAAAGATTAAATGTACCTACTTAAACAAAAATCAAACCTTCTAGAATACCAAAGGAAAGAAAGGAAAGAAAGCAGGAAGGACCAGGCACACTAGCACCTCAGTAGGAAGGCTCTCCGGCCCGGTGACATTGACCTTGGCAGTGCAACAAAAGTTACCCTATAACTTAGCTCCAGCCCCCCTCAGCCACAGTCCCAGCTTATTACTGCTCACAAAAGGACCCAGAGGGAGAATCACCCATATTTCGTAACCCAGGAATGACCCATCCATCTGAGCCTCCCTGAAGGGCCTGCCAGCCTCCATCCCAAAGCAGATCCTAAGGGCTTTCTCTCCACCTGCTGCAATCGTGGAACTGCCCTAACTACAAAGGAAACTGCACGCATTTGGGCCTCTAGGGTGGTATCACCAACCTCCACTCCACAGCAGATTCTAAGGGGGCCCAGTCTTGCTGCCCAGTCTGCCCTGTGCAGGAAACTGCTGGAAAACCCACCTGTATGGGCCAATG